GTTGTGAATAATTGCACTTGCGAGTTTAAAAGTGACCGTCCAATAAATATTCGTTCAAATCCGGGAACACACAAAACTTCTTGTCACGTTCCCTAGCAGATATGCGACAATATGTTATGTAAGCCCTACTACATAGATATTTATTCCAAATTTTATTTAAGCATAAGGTAGGCTTGTCACTGTGCGAACACTTTAAATGCACATTCATCAATTCCTGTTTTATGTTCCTTTCCCATCTGCATCTTTGCTTTCACATGTGTATCGCTTGTAGCCATTTGATGGAGTGTGCTATTCTAGATGAATGTTTATGATCAATTTTATGTCAAAACGACATCGAATACACAGAAACTTTTAGTGGTAGTAAAATTCTAATCTACTTGAAGACATCTCTCTTTTGGTTTTTGTGGTACACTAAGACATGAAGTTCCCCGCTGTGACCTTGCTTGGCAACCGTTTCTAGACGCACAAAGCCATCGCTGTGCTCTGCTATGTCTGTAAATAATATAAAATCCGTCAGCGGGAATATATGAATTTATCAGTTTGTTATAACATATGGACCCATTTCAGCAGTCTGTACCTAGTTCGTTTTAAGAAAAACCCGAGCGACTAACGATTGCTTTCTTTAGTCTTGAATGTAATCGGGCGTTGTGCATTGGTGGTTATTATAAAATGGGAGCCAATTTTACATGTGCACAATAGTGCCCAACAGATGACAACACTATAGAATTATTCACACCAATCTATTATCCGCATTATTTAGAAACAGTCGTGAAAAAACATGCCAAATAAAAACAATGGATCCTTCACTTTTTGTTTTAAATTCGCTTAGTGGGGGGTGGAGTCTAACTGGGTCCACTCGGCACGGCGGCCACTGATTGGTCTATTGTAGCCTGCCCCGGGTGATTATGATGATGGAGAATTTGGTGTAATGAAGATCGGCAGGGGAAACCGAAGTACTCGGAGAAAACCCGCCCCAGCGCCACTTTGTCCACCACAAATCTCACTTGACTAGACCCGAGATCGAACCCGGGCTGCCGCGGTGGGAAGCCAGCGACTAACCGCTTGAGCTATGACGCGGCCATCCTTCACATTTATTCTCAATTAAATATGGTGGTAGATCCATCCACTAACGTAAATTATGAACGTTCAGAAGTGTGAAGAAAGCTCCAGACAATACGTGCTCTTCGTGGTTCTGAAAGTTGAACTTGTGCTGCGTAGCACGTGCACTTGTGCAAGTGAAGCGGCCCTCCGGCTGCTTTTGTTGCTAACAATGGAGTCTCAGATCGTTGTGCTGGAGGTAGGAAATACATGCGTCAGTGCTTTAAAATATTTCATCTTGTTTATTAGGCCATGCGTGATTACGTTAGGACAAAATATTTAGAAATTTGGCATTCTCAGACAAAAGTATTGCTGCCCTGCTTTCGAAGAGTACACCGATGCAGTTGGAAATTGTAGATGAAATAGAAGCTCTTTTAAGCCCTACCAAGACGACACTCTTCTGACACGTTTGGCTCTGTAACATCTTTACTTATAGCCATAAGAATAACAAGTCTTTTGAGAGCGGAAAATCATGGAGCAGATTTAAATTTATAGTGAAAATAATGTCATATTCTAGCTCACGTATGAAAAAAAAAAAAACAAAATACGAAAGGCAATTTAATTATAATTACAATTTCTAATAAAATATTAATAGTACTTAGGGTGTCTTATTCTCTACACATTTGCCATAATTTTTATCGGGTTGGCCCATCTGATCGCAAATTACCTGTTTCCATCAAAATAGAAAGTTTTCATGTGGGCGTAAACCATTCCTGTACTATAGACAATATTTATTTATTCCCATCAACACAACATTATTTTCAGCTGCTGGAGTTGCTGTCCAGTTCGTAGCCCGTCGCTATACCGACTGAGCTATCGCTTAAAACAGGGATGCTGAGTAGAATATTTGTACCTAAAATAAAAGCAAAAAGGAGTGAGAATATGTTGTACAAAATTACGTAATGAAGTCTATTTTTTTATTGCTAGTGGGGTGGGACTAAGTCCCTTGTACTGCGTCCACTTCTGGCCTATTGTACCAGCCCCAAATTACAGGTGAAGGTGATTGTGGAGCAATTGGTGGAATGAAGATTGGCAGGGGAAACCGAAGTACTCGGAGAAAACCCGCCCCAGCGCCACTCTGTCGACCACAAATCCTACTTGACCAGACCCTGGGTCGAACCCGGGCCGCCGCTGTGGGAAGCCAGCGACTAACCGCTTGAGCTATGGCGCGGCCATTGATGAGGTGTAACCGGCCACTACAGCTGAGCTTCAGCTCTTTTCAAGGCTTACGGTGTGCATTCATGTAGTACAGATGATGGGAGGAAGCTTGGTTTTATTTTCAGCACCAATATATTGTAACGGATTTTCTCAAAGCTTTTCTAGGTAACGGCTCGATAAAAACGTTCAAACGTGCAACAATGGAAGATATGTCTCAGTGGGCGAATATTATAGCTCGTTGCTAGGCAAGAGTCAGCGCGCAAATGAACTCGCTGGCTAGAAATCGCGTGACTTGTGTTTTCTGTGTTGTCCGTTGTATAACGAAGACCTGTTGTGGCTTAGATTAGGTTAGGCTCTGTAGAGCCTGTACTGACAGAGGACTGGTGTGTAGTTAGAAGGAAGAATTTTCAAAACCATGTTATATGTGCGAAATATACACTTGACGAAAGGCCAAGTTTATTCATAAGAAGCAAACCCATCATCTCGTCAGAGAGGATGTTACATAATGACTATTACCTCAAGAGTTAGGCTGGAAAAAATCTCTGGTCGTTGGCCTCAAGGGGCTGAAGCAAAGACGAACTGATTGGCGGTAAACCGCCAGTCGTAAAGTAACTTTGACTTTGACTTTGATTGGCGCAGAGTGCAATGCATTGTATTGTACTTAAGAGTCCAGAAGAATTTGTATTGAGTTCCAAGGTTCCAGGGTGACTGAACAAGAAATGGCAAGAAGACTTCGTAGTGACATGAAGTGATAGTTTCTGTGTTGAGATACGTTGCCAGGAAACGACTAGTGAAAACTGAGAATCCTAGTGCGTGTGCAACGGTGAACTGGAAAGTGTGTAAATCAGCGATAGCGCTGTAATAAGTGTGATTAAGAAAACTTGTAACCGATGTGCCAATAAATCCAGTCATCCGAACTAGAACACATTATTTTCGTCACGCGTACACCCAATACTCGTGACCATATATTAAAACAAGTTTTTTTTTTCCATTGGCGCTACAGCCCCAGTGGGCCTAGGCCTACCTCCATGAAACTCTCCGATTAAAACAAGTAGACTGTCGAAATTCTGGGAAACATTCCGATTAAATATATATACTTTACCTATGTATGTAGCTGGAAGTCAGGTTACATTTCAAGATAAATGAATTAACAATTATAACTGATCGTCTGTGTACACCGGGGCGGGATGTTGCATTCCCCTTGAACCATCGGCAGTAAAGGAAACTTCACTGTTGAGCTCACGACCAGCATTCCCTTTAGAATCGGGGTGCTTTCCCCTTTGCAAGTCAGAGTGCATGCCATGTTTTTTAAGGTGCTGCCGTTTTGCTTCTCTGTTTACCATATATAGGCGTTTGTTTGTGTGTGTGGGTTTGGGGGGCACGCGGTGGAGTAGATGGTTGAGGTGCTATGCTACAAGCGGAAGTTCACGGGTTCGATTCCCGATGAGACCATTAAATTTTTCAATTGACCTAATCCTTCCATCCGCACTATGGCCATGGGTTCGACTCGTCTTATGATAGAAATGAGTACCAGGAATCTTCCTGTGGGGTAAAGGGCGGCCTGCCCTTAAGGCTGACAACCTCACTGCCAACTGTGAGCCGACTGTCTAGAGAAAATGTAGGAGCCTCGACGTCTCACAACCCTATAGGCCTTCATGGCCTGTTACAGAGATTGATGTACCTTCATATATGTATGTAGGGGTATGCAGTTGCTTACTAAACTGAAGCTGAGGGGTGACCATACGGGCTTTATAAGGAAGACCCCAAAAGAAACAGAACGCTAGACTGCAGAGTCTTCACTATCTCAGAGAAATAAACCTGAGTACTACTACAAAGGCGCTTCGTGATTTGTAATTATTTTTATTAAATATGATTGTTGTGATCAATTCAATGAAGATGAGACGGTTGGTAAAATAGCCGACGTGAGGGAAATAAGAAATATTACAAAACTGTTTTAAGGAAAAATTAATGGAAGAAATGCCCTAGCCGTAGACTGGGACAGAGCACTAAATGGGTTTTTAAGAAATATGATGTAGCAATGTGGTCTGCAGCCATGAAGCTCAGGACAGAGCCCAGTGTCTAGCTCTTTTTATGACGGAAATGAACCTTCTGGTTCCGTAAAATACCGTAAATTCTTGACTAGCTGAATGACTATCAGTTTCTCAAAGGCTCTGTTCCATAGAGTTAGCGCTTTATATTGAAGGCGGAAACAGACTTCAATCATTAGTACTAAACGAATTAAAGAACTCTCTCCATTGTTATAATAATAATAATTTTTTATTCGGGTTCGTGTAGAATTCCAGGACATAAGCGTAGTCCACATTATGTTCACTTAACGCTAACATTTCTGCATTTTTCTTGGTTTCAGTGTCTCCTGGAAGTACGGCTGTCCTGACTATGTTGCTTCACGTTTTTCTCAGTACAGTCAGGGATAGTAACTTAAATACCCTTAAATTAGCCATCGCTTCTTTCCCCTGCACATCTTTCTATTTATTGTTCGTAATTATCTGCAGCGTGGCATTCGACGTAGCATGTCGCCAAAAGCTGATACAGCATCGTACTTTACATGTAGATGCACTAGAAAGATATTTTACATTTATATGCAACATCAGCCACCAGCATGTTGGGGTGGACGTTCAGGTATTCTTCACGAAAAAATAAAAAGTTCAGATTCGTGAATAGAACCTCCCCAGCTGTCCTCACCAGAAGGAGACAATAGGATATCGCGTGTTGTCTCTGTACAGCAGGATGCCCGCCGGAAGCGGAGATCAGCAGTTCCTGTGTCCCTTGTGCCAGCGCCAGTTTACAGAGCCCAAAGTGCTACCGTGTCTGCACTCGTTCTGCACCGCCTGTCTGCACCAGCTACAGTCGCCATGTGACAGCAATATCGAGCTAGGTGAGTGATCAAGTTGCCGTCTTACCCTACAAAATCCTATTACAACTAATAGCAATATGGCGAAGTGTGGAGGTGATTTCTTTTATCCCATGGTGTGAAACTGAATCCACTTGGTACTGCTGCCATTGTTGGGCCTATTGTACCAGCCCCAGATGACAGATGATGTTTGTGGAGCAATTGGTGGAATGAAGATTGGTAGGGAAAACCGGAGAAAACCTGCCCCAGTGCCACTTTGTCCACCATAAATCCCACATACTCTGACCTGGACTAGAACCCTGGCCGCCGGTGTGGGAAGCCGGTGACTAACAGCCTGAGCTGTGACACAGCCCTAGGTGGAGGTGATACTAGCGACCCTTAATAGAAAAGTCTTGAAATTCTCCCTGCGAGATAAAAATGCATATCTTGTTAATGTTGTATTTGCAGCACGCAACACATCATTGTCCCGACGCAAAATATGTACTTTTCTGTCGATATTATGGCATTAACTAACGCACTATTGTAGTTACGAATATGAAGTTTTGTTTCGGAGGTGTACTTGTATATAACTATGTCTGTATGCATGTATATTTATAACTTCTTTTATTATTCTTAATTACTCAGTTTCTGAAGTTTTTCCACCGTCTAATATCCCAGTATCCCAGTTTCAGAGACTGGATCTATCTCCATCCTCATGTGAAAGAGTGGGAGGCCCCTACTCACTTGTGCCCGTTAAATAAAGCTAAACTCGGCCGCTGGACAACCTAAGTCAAAGCCATGTTATGATTGACGATCGATCAGTCCATCTTGTTGTCAAGCCCTGCCTGGGGCTGAGGAGACTTTAATCTGAAGACGGAGGTGATATGTTCTTCCGAAAGTCTTGTTGACTTTCACCGATTATTGCCGTTATATTCAACAAGCTACCATTCTTGGAATGTTCTAGGGGGTAAAGGGCGGCCGGCGCGTATGGCTGACAACCTTGCCGCCATCTGTGAGCCGATTGTCTAGAAAATGTGGGAACCTCAATATCTCACAACCCCATGGGCCTCCACGGCCGGTTACAGGGATACCTTTACTCACTTACTTACAACTGTTCTTAGTGGCCGCTGTGAGAACCTCAAATCCAACGTTTTGAGCCAATTCAGATTTGTCTAGAAGACCTTCGAGATCGTGCCCGCCTTCCCGGAGCCGCACGGCTAGTGGTCTGGCTGTTTCACCAACGCAGCTTCTGTTACATTCACAGCGAATGTTGTAGACACACTGTGTTGTCTGTTGCGGATATATGGTTGGTTGGTTTCCAATGGCTGCATTTGGGATCATTTAACCCATTTTGTTTCTTGCTTCCCAATAGAAAACACTCAAGTTCTTGCTTTGTTGCATCTTGAAGAAGTTTGCACTTTTCTTTTGGGAAGCCTTGCCAGGTTTGTTGCTCATTTTGCACTATCCAGGGGACACGGGTGCCTTAAAGAATGTCACGGACGCGAGCAACTTTGTCCCCCCGTTGCGGATATATTTCCGGTCTAGTTCTCAAAAGCGAACCCCTACGATTGTTTTGTTTTGAAGGCTGTCCTAATATAACGACTTCCGACACCTCTAAATTTCCCAGAAATATCTTTCACATATAGGATACTCACAGAATCAAGTGAATTTTTCTGTCTTTCCCTGTGACTTCTTCTTCTGGAATTAAAACTTGAGTCAGTGGAACGTTCCGGGTACCCACTGAGCTTAAGATCGCATATCAAGTTGTCAATTCCAGTGAACAGATCTTGTCTCTCTTGGCATAAGGTCGAAGCTGCACTAGTCTCTGAATAATTCCTTTTTAACATGTCATGGATGATATGTACATTCAAAGTTAGTGTAATGATCAGTGTGGGTAGGTTTTCGGTAAACCTTAGTGGTCACATTCAGAAAAGGATTCGCACTGTCTGATTCTATTTGCATGATAAACTGAGTTGAATTTCTTAGATTACTGAGGTGTTGAAGAAATTCTGTGACTTCTCTGGACCACGTGGCCAGACCACTGATATATTGTCTGCGTATCGGAGCTGTAGTGGCGGATTGCGTAGCGTCGTGTCAACAGCCATTTCGCAGAATGCTCCCTGAAGATCTTACTAATGACCGGGAACAGAAAGCTTCCCATAACTATGTAATCTTTCTACAAGAAGAACCCATCACTCACGTGGTACTCAAACATACATCTAACAGTGTCACGATGGCTTCGATCTGTCAGTGGGACCGTTCGGTTCCTGATGACTTGTACGATTTCATTCACTATTGTAGTGAAAAGACTAGCAACATCAAAGCTGGAGAGAGTGTCTAAACTTTGAATTTATACTAATTCTATCCAGTGTTTGAGATTAGTTGTAACGGACCCAACGAATTATTGCCTCCGCACCCTTCCACCTGAGGACGGAAAGAGATCCAGTTTCCTAAGCACTGTGTTGTGTTAGAATGTTAGACGACGGAGAAAGTTCAGAAACTGGGTACGGTTGACTTTAATATCACATCTTCAGATGGAAAGATGTCAGTCAAGTTTCAAGTTACAGTTAACTAATTTAAATTACTGATTAACAGTTCTGTATGTTATTCTTTACTTCTGGAATGAAGATAAATTACCGACGAGAGGTTGAAGAAGCCCTGAAGTTAGAACGAAACCTTAGAGATGTCTGCATTTGGTCGCGGAAGCATGTTTTTGAAACTGCATAAGTCAAACCAGCGCACTCTTAATATCGATCTGCGTTTTTCTTATTGCAGTATTTCATTTGTACGGTCTCATATACGTTCTTAGCGCAGGTTTCCTAATATACTAGTACGAGTATACTTCACCGGATGAGTCAAACGTTCCAAAAGCTTATATTGTATAAACAATTAAAATTTTAATTTTAAGCTGGGATATGAATTCAGGTAATTCCTCGACAAAGGAAGGACGAAGTTCAGAACACTACAGCTATAGCAGTAGAATGTGAAAAATACATATAACTAACTAACTAACTAACTAACTTCATGGAGCTGAGCCCTTCTTGAGAAGTCGCAAGTCACCAGATTTTTTTATTGCTAGTGGGGTGGGACTAAGTCCCTTGTACTGCGGCCACTTCTGGCCTATTGTACCAGCCCCAGATGATAGGTGAGGGTGATTGTGGAGCAACTGGTGGAATGAAGAATGGCAGGGGAAACCGAAGTACTCGGAGAAAACTTGCCCCAGTGCCACTTTGTCCACCACAAATCCCACTTTACCAGACTCGGGATCGAACCCAGGCCGCCGCGGTGGGAAGCGACTAACCGCTTGAGCTATGGCGCGGCCTTAGTCACACAGTTACTCAAAATTTTCCGAAAATTTGATGGAACGCGAAGATTCATTACCGTGCTCAAAGTTCTCTCCACTGTTCCCTATCCTGCGCCAGATCAATCCAGTCCATACCACCCCATCCTATCTCTCTAATATCCATTTTAATATTATCCACCCACCTATGTCTTGGTCTTCCTAGTGATCTCTTTCTTTCTGACTTTCCCACCAATATCTTACATGCATTCCTCTTCTCCCTCATTCGTACTACATGCCTTGCTCATCTAATTCTCCTTGACTTGTGCATATTTATATATACTGAACGATTTCATTGTAAATAGAACCGTACATAACGGGGAACATCATGAGTTATGCAGCTAACCTAGTAGATCTGTTGCTAGGCTAGGAGATTGCAGTGAGCTGGTCATATGGGTCTGACGTGTGCAGAAAAGACGAGAAAATGCAAATGCATTTCGTTGAGGAACATCTCAAGAAACGACGGTTAGGAAGGCGAAGGAGAAGAGAGGATATTATTAAAATGGTTATTAGGTAAAGAAGTTGTGAAGATGTCGAATGGATTGAATCTGTACCTATTGTGTCTAGTGGCGAGCTTCGGTATCACATAACAAATTTTCGGTTTGTGTTGTCAGGGAGCTGGTTCCTTGATTTGTTCACTTGCTTGAGTCAGTCTGTTTGTTGCAAGATAGGTAGCAATGTACTAAATAAAGTGGCCTAATTCACAAATTTACCCAACAGTATACTTTGCAAGTTATTAAACTTACCTGCTGTCAGTTTCTAAATGGAATTTCAGCAGAAACACCATACAAAAACGAGATAACACGAGAAAATTTCATGATTCAACAGCATAATAACGCAAACGTAAAAAAAAGTAAAGCTATCCCTGTAGCAGGTCATGAAGGCCCATAGGGTTGTGAGACGTTGAGGGTCCCACATTATCTAGACAATCGGCTCAAAGATGGTGGTAAGGTTGTCAGCCTTACGCGCCGGCCGCGCTTTACTCCCCAGGAAAACTATTTAATTAATTCCTGGTACTCATTTCTGTTGGAGGCTGAGGCGACCCCAGGGCCACATTGCGGCTGGAAGGATTAGGTCAACTGAAAACAGTCCAATGACCTCAGCGCAGTGTCTAATTACAGCAAAAGCTGTGGTGAAATGGTTTATGAAATGATTATTCAGTTACGTAAAGTATGCTTCACCGGGCACTGTAGCCTAGCGGTCTATGGCATGTATTGTCTTCGCTCGCTTGGAAACCGGGATCTTGGGTTCGAATCCCACTCAGGGTATGGATGTTTAGTTTATGTGTGTGCGTTTTTCTGTGTTTTTGTACAGGTAGAGACCTTGCGACGAGCTGATCACCCGCCCAAGAAGTCCTACCCTGTGTCTAAGATCTAGTAAACCAAAGTGAAACGGAGAGTTTCATGGAGGTAGGCCTAGGCCCAAACGAGGGCTGTAGCGCCAATGAAAGGAAAAAAAGTATGCTTCGTAATCGATCAGTACGACTAGAAATCAAAATGACCATTAGCAGTATGATCAAAGCCCTTATATTGAACTTAACAAATATTGGATAAAATATTTATGGCACGGACCTATATAAAACGGTTCAGCTATGACCTTACGTAGAGTACGGATTGTATTGTGTCAATGGGGCTAGAAATAAAAACGGTTGATTGATGTCGTACACAAGAAAGAGTCCATTTGTGACAATGTATAGAACATACTTCAATTTGGATTAATATGGCTGAAATCGGAATTTCCGAAGATCTGCATTGTCGAGTTTAACAAAATCTGATTATCAGTTTCTGTTCTGATACTAAGTCACGGATCGACGGACAGACAGACTTCTACATAAGGCGTCTTTTTTTCTATTACTTAATAAACATCATCTAATAACACGCAACTTCAGTTTTCGTCGCATCAGTCGTGTGTTGAAGTTCTACCATCGTTTCGGCGTAAATTATAGTAGCTAATTTCAGGATTAATGAGGCGGAAGTAGCACTGGCGTCTTTCACTGGAATGCACGCTGACGGTTTTGAACAACTTCAGCATATAGCAACTGTTCAAACACGAGAGCTGAAGTTACACATTAGAGAGAAGTGGAGACAAAACAAAGGCTAGAATTCGTTGATAATTTTACATGTCATTTAAGTCAATTTTCCTTAGCCATTTAGCCATTTTGTTTTAATTTTTTTTTTTGGGTGGGTGAGACGTTGCTGTGTACGACTGTTAGTGGATCTATTGTACCAGGCGCGGAGGTGATATTGATGATGTTAATGAGCGTAGAGCATCCGTTGCTATCTTGTTTGAGTCAGCCAGTTTGATGACAAGATAATAAGTTAGTAGGCATATAAATAACACAATTTTAATAGCATAATCTGATACAGCATCACTGAGGTTGGCACACAATGGACCAAAGGTTGAAGTGAATGGAGGAAGTGCCAGTTCCACTGGTTCTGGATATTCGGATGGGTCAGGATATGAAAGTGAGGTACGCTCCGATTCCGACAGCTGGACACCCAGGAACAAAACTCTCAACCTGCTGGCCTGTCCCATATGTGGGACTGAGAACAAATTACCTCCCGGAGGGATCGCAGCCCTTCCGGCAGACTACATGTTACAGCACCGCATGGTCCTCGCGACTCTCAACCGGGAAAGCACCCGCTTGCTCTGCGACCTCTGTTCTACCGACATTCCGGTAAGCGTGAACTGACAAGGCTACGAGTCTTATGGAATTAGGATCATTGGATATTTTCCTCCAGTTCACTGATTATAAACTCTCTTGAACTAGAATTTCAATAACCAATTTATAAAGAAAAGGCAGATAAGATGTCGTAGTTCTTCAGATTTATGAATATCCATGTTTGGATTGATCCTCCGGTACTTTTGTGTGGAAAATCGCCGTTGGACGGAAACTTTTACAGCATATGTAAAAGTTACCCCTGTCCTAATAAACACCATGCCATGGTGTATGGAGTGGAGGTAAGGATCCGTCTTAACCTAAGTCATAAATGGTGTGATTTAAGCTTTTCGTTCCTCCCTCCTTATTCCTGAAGAAATACTCGGTAGTATTTATGCTACTGTATTTTTGGTTTAATTAACTGCGCTTTCAGTTTACAAGACTATATTGCGTCAAATGCTAGGATGATTAGAGCATAATGCCTCAACCAACTACGCTACTGCGTGCCTCCCATCACAACATCACCTTAAAAAAAATCTTATTGTTTATCGGTAGACCATTGTTTGTTATGGAATTTCGAACAACAGTGAAATCCGTCCAACTGATGTAGCCGGTTTCAACATAATCGACATTTCGCCTTTCAGCCCATAGTCCCATTCATCATATTCCCAAAGACAGCATTTATGTACACAGAGATATTGGGTTTTCGGACTTTATTCATCGTCCTGGTTTTTAAGATAACAAATAAAAACACGACGTTTCGGAAACTGGATCTGTTTCCGTCCTCAGGTGAGGGAAAACACCTATTCTGTTGGGCCCCCTAGAAAGAGCTAGTCTCGCTCACTGGACAACCGATGTCACAAAACACAAAGGTTAGGAACACCTGAGACCAGGCTATGTCCATGAGAGCTGATAAGAAAAATATACGTACATAACAAATTGTTCCAAACACATACAAGCTTCGAACCAGGATAGATAGAGCCGTAGAAATTTATGTCACGAAACCAAACTACGAGTAATAACCAGGTCCATGACCCCACGGCATGGAATAGAAAGGAGAACTAGTAAAAAACTAATAGTGTCTAACTAGCGTCAACAACGGAGTAAATCACGTCTATCTAATTTAGAACCTAATAGAAATCAATAAAAACCTATATCACGTCTTACAGATCTTCTATGTGAATTGGTGACTTCAGTGCTGATAATGGGGATCCAAATGGGAGAAAAGTCCGAAGTAGGTT